TAAGAAGAGCATCATAAGTAGCGCTGCTAAATGCTGCATGCCGCTGTTAAGTGAGAGTCACATTGGCAAGCCGGATTTTATGAATTTATGGGCGATAGCTCCTTACAGTCGCAGTGGGCACGAGTAGTCCTAATTTCCGTAGATGTAGTGCCCCAAAGTTAACAACTTCACTTATCATCCAGGTAACCATTGATCACTTATCTATAGTCCTTAAACAAGCAATGTTATAAATGCTTTTGAAAATTTGAATCAGCTATTAATGTCAAGTTAAAATCATGGTCTCATAAAAGATCCCTCTACCAACAAAATAAGTGTTGTTTTTACTTTTACTTTTTGTAAACATCACAAGCTTAAGGAGATTAATTTGCGTGGTTTGGGCTTGCGTTTATGCGCGAGTTGCGCACGAGCGCACGGCGGACTGCTGGAAGTAACTGTCGTTTACAAAGTCCCAGATGGCAAGCGTTTGTCGTTGGGCATTTCAAAACTCAAACGCAAAACACAGTAGTCTGCCCAAAAAGGTATGGTGGCAGAAGGGAGAAGAGAAGGTTCTGTGCAATTTAATCGAAGTAAAGGGCAGAACGACTTGCCGAAGAAGATATAGACGGTCTTTTCTTAGTAAAAAGGATAAATTTTACTCAGGACCCTGCGTGTGCGAGATAAATGGAAGTAAGTAGACTAGAAATGGACATGTTCTACTAGATCTTTAAGCATTTTTAAAAATTACATTGCACAGGCTTGGTGTTGTGGAACACAGTAAATCAAAAACCGTCTATGTGGTACTAAAAAGTACTTTGGAAGTGTAAAAGCGATTTTACTTCAAGCAAGATGCGCGGAAGTTTCTGAATAACCACATGTACAGGGTGGTCCGCATGTAGTGTGAGGGGCTATGAGAAATTCATTTTCTGGAATTTTTAAGCATTTTTTCTTGCGTTGATGTTGTGTTATTCATTTTGCTCGTCATCTTTTAGTCCTACTTTGGTCAGTCTTTTTCTCTTTTTTAGGTAAAAATGGTATCACATGATGATCGTTCTGCCATAGTAGCTAAAGCGCGGCTTGTCAGTTACCGAGATTTCAAAGACACTCAAATTATAGAGAGCGTTACACCGAGTCATAAACTCTTCAAAGAGACTGGAAG